AAATCATGGAGAGTATGGACCTGAGATCATGCAGCAGCTCTTCAAGCATCGTGGAGACAGTCTACCGGTCTCTGAAGCGGTCGAATAATGGAAACAGCCTACGTGAAGATGTTGCAGCACGAATCCGTTGAAAGCTTACCCCACTTCTCCATTGCTTATTTTCGAGTCTCTTTGCAAAAGAAGGGCCTGCGATGACTAGGGCTTATCTACAATTCTCGTTGGTTACGAAGAACATTCCGGCGCTTTGCAGGTAGTTTTGGAAATGTGCCAGTTTGCCACCTCATATTATGTCTGGATATTACGGGGCTGTAGTTCACTATTATGACGTCACTTTGTTGCAGCTTCGTTCGGTCCCGGGCAGCACGAATCACATGTAGCTTTTTGGGGCAAGAACTGTAATGAGTAGTTGCTGGGTCACCTTGTAAAGATAATTGTTATTGCGGTACCAACTCTGGGAAGATACTTATTCCTATCCTTTCTGTATTTGGCTCAGCTTGATTTTAACCTTGGGGTTGCTGAAACATTCGAAGAGTGTAAGAGGTAACAGCAGTAGCCGGACACCCTGTATGATGCAGAAAGTTTTACTCGTCAAAAAAGCTATATAGGAGAAATCGCTCCACTGCAGCTCTACCGCGCTGGTCTTGTATTTGCACCGATCAAAAGTATTATGAAACAGGTATTTTCCGGCAATGTGAAAGATCAGCTGGCAGTTGAAACACTGGTGGAAGAATCTTGGAGTCGTAATCTGCAGACATTTGAAGGGCATTCCGGCGTCGAGCAGCGCACGCTGACCGGCAATTCCGGCACAGTCAACTCGGTGTTAAACCAATCTACTACCAGTTGTTTTATGTCTGTTGCGAAATTATGGGTCTTCCTACAAGGTGAAAGGATCCTGTGCCTTCCTAGTGACTATCGTTCTTTTGAGTGTTTTGCTGTTAAGGATACTACGCTTGTCCTTGGGTTAAAGGATGGGCGCCTTCCGATCATACGACTTGATTTCCAACTCGAAAATTTTCTAATCTCTTTATAAAAGAAGGGATTGGGATGTGCAACGCCTATATACTATTACTGCCACCATAAGAACCGTCCCGTGATTTCTAGATTATTCAGTAATCACGGCCAGTTTGCCACTTATACGAGTCTAGATGTTTCCATAGATTACTATCCTTAGTACATGTTATTACAGTACGCTGTCATGTAATAGAAAATTATCATTCTATGCTGTTCCAGGTTAGGTCTAGCGTGGTCTCATCCCGGGGTTGCTGAAACAATCAAAGAGTGTAAATGGTGACACCTCATTCCGGAAGGTCTGTAGTTGAAGATCCCGGCAAAGATCAACAGGGCACGGAAGACAGATTGAACGAAACCAAGCACTATGCTTCATTCGGGTAATCCGTTGGTGGCCTGCATGATGCAGATCGATGCTGCCTCCGCATATCGTCGCACGGGGTACTCAGTCTAGCTTCTGCCCTCGCACATCAGGCTATCGCTTCCTGGAGTTTGGGTGCCTGGTCCCTACGGAAATTGTCATCGGTTGGGAAGAGGCTAGCGACAATCCCGAGATCTGAAGCATGGCAAGAAGAAAGGGCTTTATCTTCCCTGGGGAGTAATGATATACAAATTCCCTTCTCACCGGCACCTCTCGTTGTCTGTCATCACCAGTGGACATCTATCTCACCGCCGGATATATGTCTTAGCCCGCCTGCGCATATTTGGAATGTCTTGCTCAGCCCTTGTTTCAACCCTGCCTGCCAGTTCCCCAGCAATGCCAGCTTGAGTTCCCTAAACTCAAGCCAAAACATCCATCCCTCTGAGCTGTGTGCTGTATAACTAGCTTCTCGTCTCTTTTAATTATCCCTTGCTAGGTGTATTCATCAGCTAACAACCCATTGAGCTAGCTAGCTACATGCAAGGGCCGCTGTCACTGCAGGAGTCTCAGCATTGACAAATAGCATGTTATCTATCAACGTGAGGGGTCGAGGTACCTCAGCTGCCTCCAATACAATGCTGTGAAAATGAGGTTAGTCCCCGATTTAGAAGGGACATAAATACCGCCCGTTCATCCCCGGATCATAGCTTGTTCTCCAATTATCCATCATCCACAGGATATCTTATTGAGATCCTACTAAAAGCCAAGCCAAGTCAAAACGATTCCCAAATCCAAAATGAAGTTTATCCTTCCCGCCGTTCTCTTCCTCGCCTCTGCCGTGTCCGCGCAGAACACTGTCCTCGACTACAGCGATGGTATCCCGCTTTGCTGCACCACCCACGACTACGTCTCCGAGGCTGACGACGAGGTCATCCAGCAGGTGACCAGCGCCTTCGAGAGTGACGGCGGTGGTGCCTGGGATCTGGGCGAGGCTATTGCGGGTGAATGTACGTGAAGACCGAGTGCTGGACGAAGAAAAGTTTGATGGTAATTGTAATTAACTGGATTGTGCAATACAGGCCAGACTGCTTTCCCCACTGGCTTCGCTGGCGGCAACCGCACTGACTGCCCCGAGGATCTGACTGCCATCTGGTGCAAGAAGCACGCTCCCTGGACCGTGAGTATCATAACACGTATGTATGTGGATGGTTCAATGCTAATGCAACCTGTAGTTGACTATCAACGGTACCTCAACCCCCCGTGATGCCCACGGACAGTGCCACTACTAGATGGACTATACAACTTGTCAACGACGAGTGGCGGAATGTGAAATGTGCTGAACGACGAAATGTTGATTGTCGGAGTCTAATGAGGTTCAATGAGGAAATGATACATCGTGGTACGAATAGATAGATAGACGAAATGAAAAGGCTTCATCGCATATCCCCGTCATGGAGCATTGTCGATCTCGAGACGGATTTTACCTTTGATGGAACCGACTTGTATTGAAATAAACAGAAAACATTTCCAAGACACCATTCTTGAAGTTCGGCTGTTCCAACTCCAAAAAGTGCTATGAGTAGTGTTCCTTTGTTCAAGCATGCAAGGCCCTTGCTATCCCTTACATAGCATTACTGGTGCGGGAGGAAGGGATGCTCCGTTGACTTGCCCCTAGTAGATAACGGACGAAGCTTGATTACTAGGAATAAAGATTAGGTTTGACTGCGACGAGCATATTAGGGAATATGTTGCTGATCATGAATGTAAAAGGAGACTAAGTTAACTGCAGTCACACTGGAATTTTGATTCAATGTGAGGTATGTGAAGAAACTGAAGGAGATGTAACTTTGCTCACACCGCCAGTACAAGTATCTCCTAATGTCTCATAGTGGCTTAACCATGATGTACCACTGCCTCCGGTGGCATCGAAACCTTGCGTGAGGGATATTGTTAGGTATGAGCGAAATGTACTCTTCTAGAAATCGTTCTTCACTCGAATTCAAGCTGAGACACCATCATTATGATGCTAGTCAGAAATATTGGATTGAGCTGTAACTGTCATTAGCTGCTCCACACGGTCACCCAATCATCGCTATGGCTGTTATTCAATATAATACTATTTATTAGTTAGTAGTACATCTCTTTCTATTTGATATCAGTCTATCAATCGTATACAATCTATCCAATCTGTATATAATCTACCACACCGATTTAACAACCAGAACTCATACCCTACTCCCCAAAAAACCGGCAATCTTGCGGTACATCTCGACCGGATTCGAATACATGGGAAAATGCCCACTCTCGACAATCATTGCCAAGTCTACTCCCTCTTCTTTCAACCTCGGCAAATACGATAACCCCTTATTCTCCTCCCCGAACATAAACATCTTCCTACACGGCAACCTCAAAAACATGCCCATCAGATCCTCCTCATCTGACAACCTAACCATCGACTCAAAGATCGGCCTCACAGCACCCGACCGGACCCTCGCGCGCAGCGTACTCGCATACAGCGGACTAGCATACGACTCTGCCGTCGCTGTACGAGCAATAAAAGAATCCATAAACGCCTCAGGATCGTCAGCCGGGAACTGGAAGATCTGACGACTAAGGAAGCAGTCCTCGGGGGCAAGATTTCCTTTAATGTCGACGAAGCTTAGCACACGATCGGGGTGCCGATGCGCCAGTAAGAGGGCAGTAAGTCCGCCCATAGAATGGCCCATGAGGTGGAACCGATCAATGTCGAAATGCGCGAGGACCGCTTCCGCGGTGGCGACTAGGAAGGGGATGTCAACGACGGAGAGGTCGTCGGTATGTGAGTGTCCGCATCCCGGAGCGTCGAAGGCTAGATAGGCATATTCCTGGAACGATGGATGCACGCTTATGTCGGCTAGGTCTTCTTTACAGGAGCCGAAGCCGTGCAGGAAGACAATTGGTGGATTGGAGTTGAGCTTGTTATTGTGGATGGTGGAGATATCGAGTCGCACGCCATTGACTTCGAGCGGGATGGTTGAGTATGTGAGCGGCATGATGGTGAGGGGTATGTGCTTTGGCCCGAAGGTCGGGTAATATTGTGACTAGACGAGGATGGTTCTTGCAGAGTTACTGCGATAGTGATTCGATGTTTGGTGAGGCTATATATGCATCCTGACGTCAATCCATGGGTTGATAAGTGTCGGCGAAATGTTCTTTTGCCGGCCCCGCGCCGTGGCGGGAGGGGCCGGATATAGATAGATCCCTTTGGCCCCGGCATGGAGTGCTACTGGGGAGAGTACCCTTTGACCGATCAATTGAGGGTATAGATATGGTATTCGGAAATGTAAAATATGTTTGTATAGGCGAAGGCAGATGATGGATTATCGGTTGAACTCCGACTTTACCGTTCGGACTCTAGCTGACCCTCCCGATGCTTACTATTATATTGTTCTTACTTATTGTGACTGCTCTCCGGCACATGTAGTTAATTATTTCCAGCGTGGCTGCCTTTTATCGCGAACCATATTTCATCTATATATCCACTAGTGTTCTGGACTTCTACTCTATCACTTAACACCCTTCTAGCATATCCTAATAGAGAGACCTAGCCATGACAATCGTAACTTTCAACCCGCAACTGCGACTCCTCAATGCTCTCCGAGCAAATGCAAAGCCCATAATGACCTTCTTGGGCCTTCCCTCTTTTCGCACCGCTCAAATAGTAGCCCAGACCGGCCTTGACGTCAGTGCCCAATCCTACCACTCACCTTCCCGCTAAGCTAATATGATTGAAAAGGGCATCATCATCGATTGCGAGCATGGTCACATAAGCGATGACTCAATGCACAGTGCAACAGCAGCTATAGCTTCTCTAGGAGTATCGCCGCTTGTGCGTTTACGAATGACTCACTCGGACTTGATTAAACGGGCCCTGGATGCCGGCGCGCAGTGAGTAGCACCCGGTCCACTTACCATTACTTCATAATATGCGCATACTGATCAACCTACAAGCGGAATTGTGGTCCCACAAATAAACACCGCCGAAGAAGCCCAAACAGTAGTCTCTTATTCCAAGTTTCCTCCACAAGGGCTTCGCGGACAAGGATCGGCATTTCCGGCATTTACACATAGTATGGACCTGTCGACGTATATCAAGACAGCGAATGAAACCTTGATTACATGTATTCAGATTGAAACTAAACAGGGAGTCGAGAATGTTGAGGAGATTTGTGCGGTACCTGGTGTTGGTGAGTTGCGGTCATACTCGTTTCTCCAGCTATGCAAATTTGGCTAACTTGAGGCAGATATGATTTTCATAGGTCCAAATGATCTAGCTCTGTCAATATTGGGGTATGTCCCCGCGAGAGGTGACGAGCCTGAGTTTGTACAAGCTATCGAGAAGATTGTGGCTGGGGCCAGGAAACATGGGAAATGGGTTGGTCGGCTGTCGAATAATGGGACGTTGGGCAGGGAGCACTTGAAGGTCTTTGATACAGTGGCGCTGAGCTATGATATCCGTGCCATGCAGAATTGGTATACTAGTGAGTTGCAGGTGGCGCGGTCGTGATGCGTTTGAGTGATTTGGGAGATTACTGCTCGGTTTGTTGATACCGTTGACGGTCTGTGAAAGACTTGTACTCGTATACTTACCCTGGATACCAATCTAATATGAGCTCATTGGGAATTTATAATGCAGGAACTTCATTGACAGTAGTGCCTTTGTAGATGAAGCGTCATAATGCCAAGAAACAAATATCGAAGTCGAGTATACGAAAGGCAGGTAGGGATACAGGGTCTTAAAACTATGATATAGCGATATGAAGTCCGTATCACTTTTCGAATCATCACCATTCCATGTTAGCTTTATGGGAACATTGGGGATCGATAAGCAGTGAATCGAAAGACACTAATGTTTTCACCCTTGGCGGAACTGAGGCATCGAGAGAGCAGAGTGGTATGGCACTCGAGCAATACCTTTTGCATAATACTGACAGTCAATAATCGGTGTAGTATAGTATATTATTGTTGTTCGCAACTGTTGGTATTGAGATACAGTGGGAACCTTGATGGTAAGGAGACAGAGGCGGTTGGGCACGCTCGCAATATCGACTTCCAGATTAATTGAGACATCGTAGCAACCTCGATGGCCGAAGGGGAGATAGTAGCAGGGCCTTTGTAGATATTAAGTTCATCTTGGAAATAGATGTGATGCATTATCTCCGTATAGGCACGAATACAAGATGATTTTTCTCATCTTTGTGTATCGGTGAAAACGACATTTCACTGACCAGATGTGCTATGGCAACTACTATCACTTCATGGTGAGCGAAGTGCATTAAGCACAGAAGCAGCATAGGGCTATTGGTGACTTAGTAACTAGGACCCTGAAAAACAAACAGACCCTTCATTAGCCTTACCCCGCGACGCAAGCCAAAACAAGAAAGCTTGGCTGTCAGCATGAAGATTGATGTATCACTCAGTGAATATAGTACCGAAAATAGAGTTCTGAACACCGCGATTAAAATCCAAATAGTAATCAGTGTGCTCAATATCTCACAACTTTAAGTTATATAAAGACATATGATTTCCCTGGTTAACACTATCGCACAGTATCAGCACCATCCCACTACTCCTACTATGATCTTCATTCATTCCAACAGACAACCCTGGATAACAATGATGACCACCATAACCCTCTCTGCTTTCGCCTTTGAACACGCTTGTCACAGCAGCTCCCACCAACAGCCTCTTTCAGCTAGTGAGCAGCTTCAGCACCAACGATCTCAAGGGCACCGACGGTATCCCCCCAGGCTTCACAACGCAGGGCAACCTCTACACCTGCCACCACCAATCCTTGTATGCCGCGGGTGACCCGACTTACGCGATCTTTGCCAGCTGACCTGGCGGCACTTTTCGAGCGACTGCGTTGAGATCGGTCTGCAAGTTGTTCTTAATAAGGATTGATGCGTTGGGGTTCTGTCTTCAGAATTTGTGTGGAGAAATTGATGCTGTATTAGAGACTTGCACGATCGGTGAAATAATTAGGTTGGTGATTTACGCCCAAGTAGGAGATATCCATTGTCCACAGTATTATAATAATTATTCGAGCTCTCTCTATGTAACCTGGACTGTGGCACATATACATAATGTATTTTCCTCGAGAGGGTCTAAATCAGGGAGCAATATTGTAACTCATTTCTCATTGTTTACAATCTCTAATATAGATCTAGCCCACTTTATTTGAAAGCATAGACAAACTCTTCATCATACAGGCCTAGAACCCCTTCCTCAATTTTTCTCATTCCGCTGC